TACTCATAAATGAAAAGTACATGACATAAAATTGGAACTCAGTAAAATATTTGTTGAAGAACAAATAAACGCTCATATCTAACTAGTTGGTGGAACGGTTCAGTCCTCAGGTCTCTAATGCTTTAGTTGATACGCATAGGAGATGGAGCCTACATGGAGGGGTTTGTATGTAAATAACTGGGGACAAAGAAAGGCGGGGGGGTTGCATCAGTCCCCAGTCCAACCTAGCCTCGCAGACAGAAGATAAGTCTAGAGGAGAAACTTGAACGAGGAATAAACCATGAGACACAGGAGCATGATCCTTGGTGCCCAAATGATAAAATGTTACACTGGCTTGGAGAGTCTTCTGCCCACATCTCATTAATCACACTACGGTGTCATATCAAAATGTAACAGGGACTTCTTGGTCCCTTTGGCACCTGGAGGACTTGCTGCTTTAGGGGAATCAGAAGCATGGTATTAATATCCCTATAGTTATAAAGAACTGGCACTAGGTATGGGGGTAAATCAGATACTCTATTCAAAGTAAATTCAGGAGCAACAAATTCAAATGAGAAGTGAACTCATAGAAATTTTAAGGAGGATATAGAGAACCCATGTATTACCAGTGGCACATGTCAGGAGTTTTTGTTTGTTTGGGTTTTAAATTTAATTTAGCAATATTATAACCTAATTCATAACCTAAGACTCAGGAGAAGTTTGGTATACATGGATGTTAAAGTCCTTGAGTACTGCGTTCATATCCTATGTTTTCCAACATTCTTTAGAGTGGATAAAACAGCACTAGATACACTGACTGTAGCCATTCAATAAATTGCAAAGAGGAGGATTTGGCCTCTCTCTTTGCTGAAATGGTTTTCAACAAGCTGATCTCAAGCCATGAATATTCTCAGAAAATCCAGGAGGAAACTCTTGATTTACATGTTGACGAATGTCTAAGAATACAGCAGCAGCCACAGCGCCAACTGGTTTGGGCGTAGGTAATTTTGCCTGTTCTTTCTACCCCTTGATCTTTGTTACTCCTGCCAAGCGTCTCTAGAGAGCCTTAGGAAATACATGAAGTTCTTTGAAAGAAAATGGTTGTTTCCGCCATAGAGAAGCAGTAGAAAGGCAGGAGAACATAGATCCTGGATTTGACTCCTGGCTCCATGACTTAGTAGCTGTGTGATCTTAGGTGAGTTACTCTGCCTTTCTGTGCTTCGGCTGTGCCATCTATAAAATGATAATGATAATATCAATACTTACTCGCATAGGGCTGCAGTGGGATCTAAATGAGACAATCCATGAAAGACTCATAGACTGGACCATAGTTAGTGCTCAGTCAATGTTGGACATCTGAACCATTATCGTGTCAAGTTTCAGTGCTCCTCAGCTTCTCTGAGACACTCTGTTGTCCTGTATTCTGCACTGTTTATCACACACCTCAGCCATGCCTACGTATATAATCCAGAGATTAATAGAGAAACTGAGGTTGTTTCTGTAAGGCGAGCTTGTGACTCATTAGCACAGGATCTCACAATCAAATGTGGGGTCTCCAGGGCCTCTTGACATGGGGACAGTCCTTAGGGCTTGGTGCTTTGTACTAGGAGGCAAGAGCATCAAGGGGCCAATTCTGACAGGTGCAGGCAGCAGACTCATCCCTGCTGCTGTAGCTTTGCCCATTCGAGTGGAATGAACTCACTCGTTATTTTTTTCCCCCTTTTTGTGCCCAGAAGGCATGAATTTACACAACTTAGAACCAGATTCCCCAATCTGTTCCCACATCACCCAGCCAAGTTTGAGACGCCTGATCATCTTGGTTACATGGAAAGCAACACTGAACAGATGAGAGCCTGGCCTCTGTCCCTGGAGGCTGTACAGAGGTTGGAGTTGACCAGGCCTGATTTCTTGTTTCAGATCTTGCTCTACTGTATTCTTCAAAATGAAATAAAAATCTAAATTCTGAATCCTGCTCCAGCATTGACATCTGCTGCTTCAAAAGATGTTGTTCTTCTGAGTATCATAATGAGGTTCCTTATGTCTCTGGAAAAGGTACCTTCACCTTCATCATAGGATATAGGATTGGCCTGGAAAATGAATCCCTGCCTAACAGTTTTCTTTTTCCTTATTGTTTAATGACCTAAATACTAAGTGTTTTATTTGAATTTCTAAAGTGATTTTTAAGTAAGCTTTTTGTGGAATATAGTACACATAAAAATATGCATATCGTTAAATACACAACTTGAATTTTACAAAGTGAATGTATTTATTAATCACCAAGAAATTGAAAATTGCTAATACCACCAAAATGCTCCCTTCCACTTCCCCTTCAAAGGTGATAATTATTCTCATTTCTATCACCATCAATCAGTTTTGCCTATTTTTTGCAGATTAACTAAGTAGGCTCACATAATATGCATTTTTTTCAGTCTGATTTCTTTAGCTCAATATTAGCTGTGAGATTCATTCACATTTCTGTGTGTAGCAGTAGCTTGCTGCTTTTCATCGTTGTATGGTATTCCATTTTATATGTGTACTGGCATTTCTTCATGCTGATGTTGATCAACATCAGTAATTATATCTTTATTTTCTATAACTTCCAAATGCTTACTGCCTCCTATTGATGACTGCTGTGGGGTGAAATTTTATATCTTATCCCATATTCATAAACATATTAATCATATCTCAGGCAACTGTTCTTTCCTCTGTTGCTTTTTTCCTGTTCTTGGTCCTGTTTCTTGATATATCTGTAATTATTTAAACACCCCAACTTTTATATGCAGAAAACAAGGAAGGCCTCTGATATATGTTATTTTCCTAAAGAGGATTTGTTATAGCTTCTGACAGACATTTAAAATGGGGGTAAATCACTCTAACCCTTCAAATGTCAGTTGTGATCTCAGGGTGTAGAGAGTCTGGTCTAATTCTGTTTTGTCCTTCCTCCTAGCATAGAGCTTTCCAGGAGTCTCCAGAACCTAGTCTTGGATCGTTCACCAGGGCTTTCCTCTTGATAGTCCCCAACCTCAAATTTTTTATCTCCCCCAAATGTAATACTTCTAAAACCTATGTTTGACTTCACATCCTCTTAACTGACTACTTTCTATTTTGTCTGTATCCCTCAGATATTGTCAAATAACTCAAGAGAACAAAAGACACAGAATATTCTATGACTTCTCTAGGCTTTCCTTCTCTCTGTGTTTTGACATCATCAGTCCCAGCTGACTTGGTAACCCTGAAATCCAACCTCTATCTTCCCAGGCTTGTAGGTCCACCAACAGATGTTAGCCAACACTTTCCACCTCACCTTCTGAAAGGTGAGAATCTGAAAATCTGACCTCTTATGCAATATGATGTATGAATTGGCAAGGTTCTTGAGGGGAATACAGCATAAAATGTTAGATTCATCACAATGAATTTCCCATCTCTCAAGAAAAGAACTGTAGCTTCTCAAACCCTCTTTCTCCTTCTTTGTGTATGTCTGCCTCTCTCTTTCCCACTCTCTCTCTCACTCTTGCTCTAAATAATACATATATATCTGGTTTGCAGCAAGCTAGTCTGTCATAGCCTCAGACAGAAGTCCCCATAGATTTATTTCTGTGAAATGCAAGCAACTCCAATTGGTCTAAATTGGCCCATCTCTTTCTAGTTCCAACTGAAGAACTTTGGGGAACATTAGTATTTAGAAAACTGAGTATGGTTAAAAGGCACTTATTAAGGGGACAGCAGAAAAGAGTATTAGATTAAAGTAGTGGTTTTCTAAGTGGTCCTTGAACTAAAAGCAACAGCATCATCAGAGCCAGGGTTGCAAACTCATTTAGCTCACAGTTTTTTCTACAGGAATTAAAATACTAAGTATTTGGAGTAAACCTGACAATGTAATCCTAACTGCTTCATCTTTTCCCCTTCAAGTCACACTCTAGAACCTCTCAGACCGGTCTATCCCTCTTGATGTTGCCCTTGTTTCCTTCTTTTTTTTTTTTTTTCTTGAAGCATGATACATAACCTACCACCTTGTTAGAAATGCATACTCCTGGGTCCTACCTCAACCTACTGCATCAGAATCTTTGGCGATGGAGCCCAGGAAAGTGTTTTAACATGCCCACCAGGTAATTCCTACGCATATTAAAGGCTGAGAGCCACTGGGCTATCAGAAGAGGATGAGGTAAGTCAATGTTGTATATCTTCATCCTGGTGTCATTATGAACTTTTAAAATCCCATTGTATGCACAAGGCCTAGCACAGTGTTGGCCATATTTTAGGTACTCAGAAAACATGGTTGAAGGTAGCACATCTGATTTAATAATTGAGATAATTTTATTAAAGTGTTTACCCCTTAGAGATCATCTTCCTCATTTACAAGATGACAAACACACCTGTGTACATTCTAAAATACATAACATAAATGTCATCTTATCCTACCATCTAAATACTCATAAATTTCAGACAATCATAATTTGGCAAATAATAATTGATGCTTATAATATCCCTGAGGTGTTATTAAAAAATAAACCTATTAATTGTCAAAGAAATTATACTCAATTATGTTAGATTGGCCTTGATGCTATATGTATGACCAGCATGTTGCCTTTAGAAAGAAAAGCCAAGACTTCAGGTTAAGACAAGAAGACAGCATTAGCAGCTTTTAGGTTAGTTCAGTATGTATGTGTGTTAAGTTATTATAGGAATATCATTGATGTATTCTGAGAAAACATTTTGCTAAAAGTGCCAACACGGCAAGGTTAAATCCAAAGAGAATCCCTAGCAAGTGAGAGATTCAGTGAGAGAAGAACAACTTACAATGAAATAAAAATAATTGAAGAAATGTGTCAGAGAAAGTGAAATGATAACAACAACGTAAACCAAGGAACTAAAAGTAGAATAAAAATTTTAAACAAAATTTAAAATTAAAAAAAAAATATGTATATGTAAACCAAGACAAAAAGACATGTAAAGGGAGCCATGACTCCTTAGGAAAAATCACTGGCTCTAGAAGGTAGAGGGGAGACAGGCCTCAGTCCTACCTCTTCCAGCTGCACCACGAGAGTAACATTGTGCCCTTGTTCCGCTGTCAGCTTTCCATCAGCAGTGACGATCCGGAGCCCCCGCGGGGCCTTCCCTGGGCACTTCTGTGGTTTGGCCGTGTACTGTTCTCTCACCCCATCAGTGCAGTTATTGGAAACCACCTTTCTATACCTAAATGGAAAAAAAGAAGGTCAAATTGTAATCCAGCTCATGATAATTTGGACCACTCCCAACTTTTAAAATAATTTTTTATTTATTTATTTTTGGCTGTGTCGGGTCTTCGTTTCTGTGCGAGGGCTTTCTCTAGTTGCGGCGAGCGGGGGCCACTCTTCATTGTGGTGCGCGGGCCTCTCACTGTCGTGGCCTCTCCTGTTGCAGAGCACAGGCTCCAGACGCGCAGGCTCAGCAGTTGTGGCTCACGGGCCCAGGTGCTCCGTGGCATGTGGGATCTTCCCAGACCAGGGTTCAAACCTGTGTCCTCTGCATTGGCAGGCAGATTCTCAACCACCGCACCACCAGGGAAGCCCCACTCCCAACTTTTGAAGCTGAACCTTCTGCTTAGCCTTGAGGGCTATCAATAACTACCTTTCCTGTTGCTCTGAAGATTACAGTTTATTCATAGAAAGTACCCAACAGAGAGCCAAATCATCATACGAACACACTGTATCTATTATTAACATTTTAATTTACTGCTTTTATTTATTTAGTTAATCGATGAATCAAATCAATTCACTTTGGAGCTGTGGGAAATGCATAGCAGCAGTAGAAGACATGGTCCTTCCTTGCCCTCAATAAATTTATAATCTAGCTGAAAAGATATACATGGATAATCTAGGAGATACTTCAAAGGCTATATAATTAAGGGTTAGAATGAGTAATAGATATTGCAAAGGAATGTGTAGTTCGGAGAAAGAATAGATTCTTACGCATTATATGCCTCAACATTAGATACCACACAAGATGCTGTACTAATGGTACGGTGCAGAAAGTTGGCTAAATTTGATAGTTTTTAGTCAATATCTCATGAGGAGTTATACTGTCTGAACAGTTGAAACCTCACATTAAGGAGACTTCAGTCTACAGATAAGTAAATCCTTCCAACTCTTTTGCTTTTTTCTTCTTGTTTTGGCTTTAATAAGAAAAAAAAGAAAAAGAATTATCCTACAAATTTATCCTATACAACTGATCAGATGCATAGTAAATTAGAATCTGTGGGTTTTAAATAATTAACCTTTAAGACTTCTGAGGTTCAGTGTTATCTATTCATCATCTTTTTTTGTGTGGAGTCCACAGCAACAGCTTTGTGTATTCATATATTTGATTTCTCAAGTCTACCTGCTTGAAGTTATTGGTAGAGCTCAAAATGGAAGCAATCAAAGTCCAAGGTCTTTCCATTCTTCTAGACCAGGAGTTGACAAAACTTTTTACATAAAGTGCCAGGGAGTAAATGTTTCAGCTTTGTAGGTTATATAGTTTTTATCACAAGTACTTAGCTCTTTGGTTGTAACACAAAAGTGGACATAGTGCACGAAAGAATGATTGCATCTGGATTCTAATAAAACTTTATTTACAAAATCTGGTAGTGTGCAGGCCTGCAGACTATTATTTTCCAACCCCTTCAAATCTAGCCAAAGTCCTTTCTCTGTCCCTAAATCTCAAGAATGACTACCTAAAAGCAAGGTTGAGAAAATAAAATTAAATACTGTCTGGGAAAGTGCTTTGAACACTGTGGGTCACTGCAAGGCCAGTTATTAATATTAAGCTCACCTCACAGGGCAGTTCTAAGGATGAAATGGATTAATGTACACAGAACACTTAAAACGCCCCTGACAATTAGCAAGTGCTTATGAAATGCTGTCAATTATTTTTATTTAACATCATTATTTATCCTACCTGTTCACAACCTTCATGGATTCCACTTTCTTTAGGACAAGTCAAAAATCCTCTGATCTTGCGAAAGAAGCCTTTGTTTTACTTTTCTGGACTCTTTCTTCCCAACTAGCTCATTCTGCCAAAATTCTCTTTTCCACCCTCTTGAAAGTACTTCCTTTCTTTTGTTCTTTCTGCTTCCATGTCCTCCTGTATGCCTTATCAGCTGCCTAAAACTTACCCACACTTTATTTTATTTTTTGAATTTTATTTTTTTATACAGCAGGTTCTTATTAGTTATCCATTTTACATATATTAGTGTATATATGTCAATCTCAATCTCCCAATTCATCACACCACTACTCACCCCCCCTGCTGCTTTTCCCCTTGGTGTCCATACGTTTGCTCTCTACATCTGTGTCTCAATTTCTGCCCTGAAAACCGGTTCATCTGTACCATTTTTCTAGGTTCCACATATATGCATTAGTGTACGATATTTGTTTTTCTCTTTCTGACTTACTTCACTCTGTATGACAGTCTCTAGATTCATCCACGTCTCTACAAATGACACAATTTCGTTCCTTTTTATGGCTGAGTAATATTCCATTGTATATATGTACCACATCTTCCTTATCCATTCGTCCTTCAGTTGGCATTTAGGTTGCTTCCATGTCCTGGCTATTGTAAATAGTGCTGCAAGGAACATTGGGGTGCATGTCTCTTTTTGAATTATGGTTTTCTCTGGGTATATGCCCAGTAGTGGGATTGCTGGGTCATATGGTAATTCAATTTTTAGTTTTTTTTTTTTTTTTTTTGGTACACGGGTCTCTCACTGTTGTGGCCTCTCCCGTTGCGGAGCACAGGCTAGGGACGCGCAGGCTCAGCAGCCATGGGTCACAGGCCTAGCCACTCCATGGCATGTGGGATCTTCCCAGACAGGGACATGAACCCGCGTCCCCTGCATCGGCAGGCGGACTCTCAACCACTGCACCACCAGGGAAGCCCCAATTTTTAGTTTTTTAAGGAACCTCCATACTGTTCTCCATAGTGGCTGTATCAATTTACATTCCCACCAACAGTGCAAGAGGGTTCCCTTTCCCCCACACCCTCTCCAGCATTTGTTGTTTGTAGATTTTCTGATGATGGCCATTCTAACTGGTGTGAGGTGATACCTCATTGTAGTTTTGATTTGCATTTCTCTAATAATTAGTGATGTTGAGCAGCTTTTCATGTGCTTCTTGGTCATCTGTATGTCTCCTTTGGAGAAATGTCTGTTTAGGTCTTCTGCCCATTTTTGGATTGGGTTGCTTGTTTTTTTTAATATTGAGCTGAATGAGCTGTTTATATACTTGGGAGATTAATCCTTTGTCTGCTGATTCATTTGCAAATATTTTCTCCCATTCTAAGGGTTGTCTTTCCATATTGTTTGCAGTTTCCTTTGCTGTGCAAAAGCTTTTAAGTTTCATTAGGTCCTATTTGTTTATTTTTGTTCTCATTTCCATTACTCTAGGAGGTGGGTCAAAAAAGATCTTGCTGTGATTTATGTCAAAGAGTGTTCTTCCTATGTTTTCCTCTAAGAGCTTTATAGTGTCTGGTCTTACCTTTAGGTCTCTAAACCATTTTGAGTTTATTTTTGTGTATGGTGTTAGGGAGTGTTCTAATTTCATTCTTTTACATGTAGCTATCCAGTTTTCCCAGCACCACTTATTGAAGAGACTGTCTTTTCTCCACTGTATACCCTTGCTTCCTTTGTCATAGACTAGTTGACCATAGGTGCGTGGGTTTATCTCTGGGCTTTCTATCATGTTCCATTGAGCTATATTTGTTTTTATGCCAGTACCATACTGCCTTGATTACTATAGCTTTGTAGTATAGTCTGAAGTCAGGGAGTCTGATTCTTCCAGCTCTATTTTTTTCCCTCTAGACTGCTTTGGCTATTCGGTGCCTTCTGTGTCTCCATACAAATTTTAAGATTTTTTGTTCTAGTTCTGTAAAAAATGCCATTGATAATTTGATAGGGATTGCAATGAATCTGTAGATTGCTTTGGGTAGTAGAGTCATTTTCACAATATTGATTCTTCCAATCCAAGAACATGGTATATCTCTCCATCTATTTGTATCATCTTTAATTTCTTTCATCAGTGTCTTATAGTTTTCTGCATACAGTTCTTTAGTCTCCCTAGGTAGGTTTATTCTTAGGTATTTTATTCTTTTGGTTACAATGGTAAATGGGAGTGTTTCCTTAATTTTTCTTTCAGATTTTTCATCATTAGTGTATAGAAATGCAAGAGACTTCTGTGCAATAATTTTGTATCCTGCAACTTTACCAAATTCATTGATTAGCTCTAGAAGTCTTCTGGTGGCATCTTTAGGATTCTCTATGTATAGTATCATGTCATCTGCAAAGAGTAACAGTTTTACTTCTTCTTTTCCAATTTGTATTCCTTTTATTTCTTTTTCTTTGATTGCCGTGGCTAGGACTTGCAAAACTATGTTGAATAATAGTGGTGAGAGTGGACATCCTTGTCTTGTTCCTGATCTTAGAGGAAATGCTTTCAGTTTTCCACCATTGAGAATGATGTTTGCTGTGGGTTTGTCATGTATGGCCTTTATTATGTTGAGGTAGGTTCCCTCTATGCCCACGTTCTGGGGAGTATTTTTTATCATAAATGGGTGTTGGATTTTGTCGAAAGCTTTTTCTGCATCTATTGAGATGATCATATGGTTTTTATTCTTCAGTTTGTTAATATGGTGTATCACATTGATTGATTTGTGTATATTGAAGAATCCTTGCATCCCTGGGATAAATCTCACTTGATCATGCGGTATGATCCTTTTAATGTGTTGTTGGATTCTGTTTGCTAGCATTTTGTTGAGGATTTTTGCAACTATGTTCATCAGTGATATTGGTCTGTAGTTTTCTTTCTTTGTGACATCTTTGTCTGGCTTTGGTATCAGGGTGATGGTGGCCTCGTAGAATGAGTCTGGGAGTGTTCCTCCCTCTGCTATATTTTGGAAGAGTTTGAGAAGGAGAGGTGTTAATTCTTCTCTAAATGTTTGAGAGAATTCGCCTGTGAAGCCATCTGGTCCTGGGCTTTTTTTTGTTGGAAGATTTTTAATTGTCTCTATTTCAGTGCCTGCGATTGGTCTGTTTATATTTTCTATTTCTTCCTAGTTCAGTCTAGGAAGGTTGCGCTTTTCTAAGAATTTGTCCATTTCTTCCAGGGTGCCCATTTTATTGGCATATAGTTGCTTGCAGTAATCTCTCATGATCTTTTGTATTTCTGCAGTGTCAGTTGTTA